AAAATCTATCCTTGCAAAGTAGACAAAGGCAGCTTAAATTTAACTTTGGTCCCAGCTAATGAGAATTATCAGAATTGATGCCCATGATCAGTAGGATGTTTTTACTGCCATGGATTTGTTCTTAACCTCCTCTTATTCATGTAATTTTTCACATGGGTAACCTTCTAGCATGACTTAGCTGTCTAGTGAATGGGATTCCTTCATGAGAGAACAGCTTTGTTCTCTGTTGCACCATTTGTTTTTGATGTTTTCTGACTGGTGACTGCACTGTGGAACCTCACTGTCTGCCCTCCTCCACTAGTCCTCTTCAGAATTGTGTCTCTGGATGAAGACTTCCGTCCCTTGAATGAGCTGGTAAGTCTGTTACCTCCTATTCACCACTTAATTGGCTTTAAGTCATCTGTGTGGGGAAAGGGACTAAAGAATTGTAGTTTGGGGAGAGCTTTCAGTACACCAAAATAGTTGTGCAATATCTCAAAATGCTCTGCTGCTCCCTACCAGGAATGGTTATGGTTGTGGTTATCCTTCTCCTCCTCCAGCTTCTTCCCTGAAATGTGGTCACAGCCCTGGTCATTTGACTGTTGCTTGATTCTGTCTAAATAATGCTGTTTCCTTTCTTCTTCTTCTAGTTTCCCCTGGTGTATATCGAGGTATGTACTACTCAATTCATGTTCCCATCTATTGCACCCCAGCCTGGGCAGAATAACTGCCAGTTGCCTCCAGGTTACAGTTCCTTCTATTGCCCAGCCCTGGGTTCCCCCAAAAACTCTGCCAGTGGCCCCAATCCTGCCCTGCAGCCCCCTGAAACACTGGGGCTGGGCCTCCCCTCACCACTTTTGCTAGTGCCTTTCAGTTCTCATGGCTCTGACCATCTCCTTGGGATCCCATTGTCTGCAGGACCCAAAGAGAAACCGCCTGTACCAGTGGACAAAAGCAGAGCTAAAGAGGGGAATAATCCAGCTGTTCTTCAACCTCACCTCTGAACCCATGCAAGGGACCTACACAGTAGTGGCACAGAAGGTCTCTGGGAAGACAGTTCGACACCCTTTCTCCGTGGAGGAGTATGGTAACTGTGGCTGCAGGTTCAGGTTCCTAACAGCTAGTCCTGTGGGGCATGAAGCTTAACTGAGCAGGGTGGTAAATCTGATCAGGATGTCCAGCAGGGCTGGAAAAATATCTGTGTGTCCTCTCCTTCCCAAGCATCACCCCTTTCTGAGGGCTGAAGTCTGAAGGACATGAGCGACCTGTCTCCACTCCTAAAATCTGACCATTTAGGCACAGAAGGGTTTCAGGTCCTTTGTAAGAATATTCTTTCAGCAGCCTTCATGTCTCATGTTATTCTCCACCACATAGACTGTTCTCCTTTTGTTCTGCTGCAGTGCTGCCAAAGTTTGAAGTAACAGTGAAAATGCCCAAGGTGATCACCATTCTTGATGAGGTGCTGAAGGTGACAGTTTGTGGTCTGTAAGTGTCATTCTTTCAAGTCCTTCTTGGCTTCAGATTTTTCTTCAGCTACTGCTGAAGCTCCAGGTGGGAGACCGAGATAATACTTCAGTAGATTTCTCTGTCATTTTGGGTTCCCATGACCAAACACATTACATTTGCCATTAGACAAAAGGCAGCAATTATTGCTTGGGGCACTTTGTATGTAACATGTAGAAACATATTGTTCTTTTGGTTTTGAGAGAGGTCTTTTTTGGCATATTTTTGGAGTCCTAGAAGACTTCAGACCAGCTGCAGTGCTAGGGAAGAGGTCTTCAGTTTAATTGACCTTGCTATGATGTTTTCACTGTGGCTTCTGCTTGTCACTGCTGAGAGGACCCTGTAAGTGATGCAGCTGCCCTCTTTCCTTTGGGCCACCCCATTGGACTCTGTGAGGTGATGTTCCATGTGTCTGCAGGGGAAGCCACAGCTCAGGCTGAAGAATAAGCCAAAGATCCCAGTGCACATGTACACCAACCTGTGGGCTAGGTATTCCCAATGTGTTCTCCAGGCTGGGGAGTGCTCTCAACTCAATCAGCATCAGAGTGAATGAGTTCTAAAGGCTTGTGTGCTGTTCCCAGGGATGCAATCAGCCCTGTAAGATCCAGTGCTCCTGTCCCCATTGCCAAACTGATCCAAAAAAAGTCACCAGATTTCTTCCTGCTGTGTGTGTCCTGCTCCAGGTACACGTTTGGGAAGCCCGTTCCTGGCCTGGCGAGCGCCCGGGTCTGCCGCAGGTTCGAACAGGCAGCCAGCAGCTGCTATGGAGAAGAGGCCAAGGCAGTGTGTGACGAGTTCTCTGGACACGTGAGTCCTCAGCAGTCCTTGGGGCAGGGGGACAGGAGGTAGTGCTGCTCCTTGAGCAGGCCTTGGAGGCACAGACTTGCTGGGAGTACGTACGAGCGTAGCATGGAGAGCGGAGAAACTCCGTGTGCTGTCAGGAAGCCTGAAGAAGCAGTGAAGGTTGGGCACAAGGTGAGATGTTAAAGGTAAAAAATAAGGGGAAGGTCTGTGCAGTAAGAAAGATGTGTGTAATGGCAAGGAGCTGATGGAGAAGGGAGAGATGGAAGAAACAGGAAAAGGTCAGACAGACTGTAGAAAGTGTAAGAGAGAAGTGAGGTAGAAAAGGCACGAGCAATGAGAGCAGAGCTGGGGTTAGGTTACACTAGGGACAGTTGTGTGCTATCAGAAGTTGGCTTTATAGGCAGGAAAGGAGCAGAAACCAGGGGAGGCACGATGCAGTTTGAGTAAGAAGGAAAGGAGTATGGATTAGCAACAGTGGTTAGGAGACACAGAAAAAAACTCAACACTCTTCAGACTGGCAAGTGTACAAAAGCAAAAGAGAATGGTGTTGGGAGCATGGGCAGGTGCAGCAGTGCTGGCTTAACTGAGAGCTGGGGCAGGAGCAGTTGTGGAAATATGCCAGGAGAAGAAAGCAAGCAGAAGATATTCTTCTGGTCCTTGGAGTCTGCCACAGTATGTCCACCACAACTGCCTCCACCACTGCTGTGTTATCTGTGTTAGAAGAAAATATGAACACTGCAGTGCAGTTCCAGGCATCTCCTCCTTTTCCTGTGGAGACCTGCCTTGCATGTGAAAATGGTGAAGGGAGGTGGCAAGGTTTGGAAATACTCTTCCAGCTGTCACCTTTCTACACATACACAGGCTTTGATTTATGTATCACTCATACACCTTGTGCCTTTTAAGTCAGCAGCTATATTCTGAGTGCCTGATGCTTGGCAAACATATCCTGTGTGGCAAGCACCTGAGTAATTCCCTGTGCTTCTGGATCAAGGGTTTGCAGTTTCAAACTTCATACACCCATACATAAAAATTTTCTAGGTTGGAAACTTTTTGATGTTGCTGCAAGTACTTCAAAATGCTCCTTGACAAGTTATTTATACACTTTTCCAGTCTTGATAAAAAAAAAAAACAGAGGGAATGATCTGTGAGGTTATGGCTTCTCTTCCAGTTCAGAGCAATGCCCAGAGCTGGATTCATTAAGTTGGATAAATATTATAAATTACACAATAATGGGTTTGTTTTCCTCCTGCAGACAGATAACCATGGCTGCATTTCTGAAATGGTAAAGACCAAGTTATTCCAGCTCAAGAGGACTGGATATGAGAATAAGCTCCATGTGGAGGCTAAGATTAAGGAGGAGGAGACAGGTATGAATCATCTGGATCAAGGAGCTGTGTAATAAACCCAGGAGATACCAGCAGAGGAGCTTGGCACGTAGGAATAAGGGAGAAAAGCAGACTCTTGCTTTACCAAAATTCTTAATTTTTCCTCCTACCTGGAGGCCAAAAGCATCAACAAAATTGCTTGTCCAGCAAAGGAGGTTGGCCTGGAGTAAAAGTAATTCTGGTCAGGCAAAACCAAATTAATTGTTGCATCCTCCTGCAGGAGTGGAGTTGGCTGGAAGAAGCTTCTCTGAGATCACATCCACCATCAGTAAAATCACCTTTGAGCACTCAGACTCCTACTACAAACCTGGAATTCCCTTCTTTGGGCAGGTAGGGGAAGCAAAAGAATGGAATGCCATGAGTGCCAAACAATCCCACTCCTAAACCTGCTTGACAAATATATCCCCATCTTATGTTCCTTTCATGTAGGATGCTAACATGAGTAGGTTATGTATCTCATTGCCTAGCATAAGAGCAACTTCTGCTCCTCTCCTTCTGTGCTGCACTGTTTTTTCTCCTGCAGGTGAGACTCGTGGATGGGTCTGGAGCTCCCATTCCCAATGAAGTGGTGAAAATTTCTCTACAAGGGGACCAGGAAACCAACTACACAACCAATGAGGAGGGCAGGGCACGGTTTGCTCTGAACACTTCCATGTTGTACTTGGATTCTGTTGGACTTAAGGTGAGTCCTGTGGGCAGAAGAGGTCATGAAGTGACCAACAGGGCTGGAAGGGAAGGACCTCTGAACTTTCTACTGTGTATGCAAAAGCACTTAGCTGCTTGTTCCTGATGGACACCAGTGTGGTGGGAAGTCACACAACAAACCAGGTGCCATGTCACATTTGTACTTAGCTTGTGAGTGTTTGATTTCTGCTTGGCAATAGCAATGTGGGGTCAGAGGAAACATCCAGAAATGATAATAGTCCATTCTGCTCCAAGGGATCAGCTGTCCTCCCAAGACAAACCTGTTTCAATGAGGGGTCTGACTTCCATTGTGCAGTGCTGCTAGTCTGCTTCACTGTCTTTTTGTTATTTCCCAAGTATCTCATCTCATCTCAGTGTCCTTTATGCTCAGTTAAGGTAATCTGCATTTCTCAGGGTTTAATTTAGCATTCTGAGTGTCTAAGCAGTCCTTATTTTTTCTTCTTTTTTTCTTTTGCCTGCCATAAAGAGAAAAAAGAATAGGAAGCATTCACAGAAATTCTCTCCCTGGTGTGGAATTTGTTTATCTGGAAAAAATAAGTGTTGCTGAGCATCCTTTTGTTAGTGGAAAATGCCATATGTGTGTAATAGGTCATTTCATAGTATCTCACCCTGGAATAGGGCAGATGGCCTAGAATTATATTTGCTCTTCTCCCTCCAGTTCTCTTGTCACAGATTGAATCCATTCAAAATTATGCAGAAGTTACTACCAGGTGCTTGAAGTCTTCAGAATTTTGCAGGGTGGAGAAGAGGCAAGAATTCCCAAGTGTAGTGAGGAAGACAGGGAAATAAGGGCGTGTGAGGCACAGGGAATGGTGAAGTGTCACTCTTCTAAACATGAAATATCTTCCCCTTGCTCTCATTTTGAAGAAGGCCTGGACTCTCTCAGCTCCTAAACTTCTACCCAGATTAGGTTTTTGAATTCTTAGGTGGAGACTTTTCCTCTTTTTCTCTGGCATCCTTGGCTTGATCTTGGCACCGATAATCTCTGTTCTGAACAGCACTGCCCCTTCTCCAGCACCCACAATGAGAGGGAAAATGGAGCTCAGCTTCTTCTTTCTTTAAACTAACAGGATATTAGAGAAGGCAAGGTACTATGGTAACGAGCCTTTGAGGTGATAAGGACAGTAAAAAACCAACTGACACAATTCTGTTGGAGACAATTAGTGGCTTCTCTGGGAGCGAGCCCATTCCCAACTCCCTGCTAAGGACACCACCGCACTGTCTCACCCCTTTCAAACTCATGAGGGATTTTGCAGACTCTCTTGTAGCTTAAATATAAAAAATGCCAACCTGAGTTTGTGGATCTGTGTGTGTGTCCTCTCCTCTTCCAGGCAACTCACAAAGTCCACCCCTACTGCTACGACCGAGCCTGGGTTGCCCCACGTCACGAGGGCGCCTACCTCCCGCTGAAGCGCTTCTACTCCCCCAGCAACAGCTTCCTCAAAATCGAGCTCAGCTCTGAGACCCTGAGCTGTGGCTCCTCCACAGAGGTCCGAGTGCACTATATCCTTGCTCCAGAGGTCATAGGGGAGCAGAAGAAAGTTGTCTTTTACTACCTGGTAAGCTCACCCCTGTCCTACAGCGAGGTTGTCACTGGTAATCGTATGGTGGCTGGAGATGAAAATTGTAGTGGCAGGCTTGAAATGTTTTCCAAGCACCCTTCATATGTTTTTTTCCCCAAAAAGGAGGGTCTGGGTTAGGAGCAGAGGAGCACAGATGTCTCAGTGCCTCCTGGGTGAGCCCTGGGACTCTGCTACAGGGAGGCAGAGAGCAGCTGAGCACGGAGCAGACGTACAGCTCAGCTGCCCTCCTCTCAGGCTCCCCCTCTGTAAGGTCTGGCTCACACACAGCCTCAATACCAGCAGGGTTTCTCCTTCCCCCCAGGTGATGGCCAAAGGAAACATTAAGCAAGCAGGCACCCACGTTCTGGATCTGGACCAGGAAAGTGGTGAGTTCCTTTCCCCTGCCAGACTGTTGCTGTCCTGGGAGGCAGATGTGCTTCCATCTAAATGCAGGAACCTACCTCTCCATGCCCCCTAAGATATGGGAAGAGTTTGAGCTTTCTTTCCTCTGCCTTTATTTAGGCTTTGCACAGGTTTTCTCTAATCCCCTGTGCCAGGTGTCTTTCTTCTGACACTGCATTTCTGGGGTTGAAGTGCTCCTAGGAGGCACAGACTGAGGGTCTGTTTTGAGAAACTGAACCAAAATTCAGCATGCTTATGCACTGGAAAGCAGGACTTGAAACAGGCCTTTTCAGTCAGCCAGTGAGTGCTTTCACACCTCTTTGAGCACCAGCCCCTACCACTTGTATTCCTGGAGTTTCATCATGGCTGGGATGAAGTTCAGCATGAAGTCAAACCTGGAAGTGTGAACTAAGGTGTTCTGGACCTTAATTTTTTGCTCCTGTTTTATTTGCTAGCCAATGGGGTCTTCTTGCTGCAGCTGCCTGTAGAAGTTGATATTGCTCCAGTGGCCCAAATGCTTGTCTACACCACTGCCCCCAGCAGGGAGGTGATTGCTGATTCAACCAAGTTCAACATAGAAAAGTGTTTCAGCAATAAGGTGAGTGCCCACTTCTGGAGGGAGCAGCCATCAGACCCCAGCCTGGTCAAGCTCACTTATTTAGATTTAGCCTGGCTAAGCTGATTTCTTTAGGTTTACTAACACTGTCAAGCCACTTATCCATTTTTCACTGCTTACTGGTTTGTGCTAGCTTGGAGGAGATCAAGTGTTGGGAAAAAAAGGTGCTAGCAGGGACTGCACTGATAAAACTCCTCTTAGCAACTCATCCCAGGGACTGATCTGACGTGGTCCTGGGTAAGAGAAATGGGGGCTGCCTGTCTGATGTCATACTGCAGCACACACATGGCTCCTTTCCACAAAACTCCAGCAATCAGGTGGCTGCTTCTGGTGTCACAGAGCAAAACTAAACCACACCCCCCCAGTCCAATGGATGAAGCTGATGTCTGCCAGATCCTTCAACTCCCATACATCCCATTCTGTTGTTTTAATTTGTGTTGTTTGCAAACAGAGATAAACCTTGGCTGAGCCTGCCAAGCAATGTGCACAGTGGTGCTTCAGTAACAATGGGGAGATTGAAAGAGTGCAGGAAAAGAAAGTCTTCCTTCTGTTAGCATGTGCACCATTGTTCCCTTATAGCCCCACATACTCCTTAGGCAGAATATTGATGTATGAGAAACCCTAAGAAGAGAACAACCTTCAAAATTCCTGTCAAGACTCCAGAACAGTAGACAGAACACTGCTAAAAACAGTCCTGTGTCCTGCTAAACCCCAAGCTCAATGAGTTCTTGAGACTGGTGTCACAGCAGGAGCTTGGTCACCCGAATTTTGTTCGTATATTAAAAGTCATAGACTGCATTAAGGGCTGGGTGCAAGCCAAGTGCCAAGTGATTTCCATGCTCTAGGTGGTGCTTTCCTCTCTGAAAGCATCCTGAATCCAAATCTGCTGTCAGATCTGTTAGGACAGACCTTGGGCTATCTCTGTGTCAGATCTGTTAGGACAGACCTTGGGCTACCTCTGTGCTCAGCAGTTTTACAAGCAGCAAGCTTGCCACAGGCTGTGTTCTGCCACTTCCTGAAGATCATTGTTTTTGTAGTCTCAGGGTTATGAGTCCACCCTGGGAGAGGTGGGAACTGCCAGCAGAAGGCATGCTGTGCTCTGGTTGAGACCTGAGGGACACTGAGAGCTGCTGCTGCTTCCTCTGGCCACGTGCTTACTCTAAGGATGTTGGGAGGGAGGGGGTTGATACTGCTGAGGAGAAGGCAGATTTAGGCCAGTCAGTCATCATGTTACAAAACCCTGTGAGATGGTGATGACAACAACTTCTGCCAGAAAGAACTTCCAGGGTGGAGGTTGGTAGGTGGTCATTAGAGATGTGAGAGAGGTTTTGGGGAAGGCACGTGGGTCTGGCAGGCTTCAACCAAGAGGCCAGTTCTTCAGAATCATTCCCAGCCAGTGTATAATGCAGTATTGCTCCAGAGCACCACTGCTCCTCCTGTCCCCAAAGAATCTGCCATGCAAAGCCTTTGGGAGCCTCTCCACGTGCAGTATCTGGGTGTGGTACAGAGACTGGACCTGGTTCAAGGCCATGCCCAGCTGCCTGAACAGATCTAGCCACTCTGTGGGATTATCTCACTATATTCACAGTGGCCATAAACCCCAAAACTGCCTTAAAAGTTTTATCCCAGGAAGGACTCCCAGCTCTGTGGCAGCCCGAGGGAGTGCTGAGGGGGGTGTGGAGGCTGCGTGTGGGCTCTGTAAGGCTGGAGCTGATGGACTCAGCTGGAGGGGAAAGTCATACAAGGGTGAGGTGTCTGTGACACAGCTTCTCCTGTGGCTACAGGTGGAGTTGAGCTTCTCTCCCTCTGAAGGCCTGCCTTCCTCTGAAGCTCACCTGCTGTTCAGAGCCTCCCCAGACTCCCTCTGTGCTGTCCGTGCTGTGGACAAGAGCGTTCTCCTCATGAAGCCAGAAGCTGACCTGTCACCCAGCTCTGTAAGTGCTTAGTCTGGGAGGGAGTGCAGCCCAGGGCTGGAGTGGGAGCAGTGCTCAGTCCCTCTCATCAGTGCTGACACAGGAGAGCTGCCCTGGGCTCTTCTGTGGCTTCCTCCAGTGGGCAGAAAGATGGGACCTGGGCAGCAGCTGCTTCCTGGGGGGGGTTGTGTGACTGTGGGGGTGGCAATTAGGAAACTCTTATGAGGGAACTGCTTCTTTCAGCCTCAGCCAAACACTGTTCTGTGGCTGATGATAGTTTTTCAATTATTCTTTCCAACCATGGATTAATGTTCTTGAAGCAGTGTCTGGAAGTGTCATGAAGTTTATTCCTCTCATGCAAACAACAGTCCCTGAGTTAGGGACAAAGCACTGCAGATGGGCTGGCCTGTGATTGTTCAGCTGTTTGAGCCAGAACAACCAGGGTAACATGCTGCTCATAACAAAAGAGGCAGGATCTCCAAATTAAATCTCTTTTTTGACTCTCAAATTCACATTGCTTCCACCACAGGGAGGACCATGGCAATGTTCTTGTAAAAAGTCCCTCCCCAGCTTTCTTGTAGGTGTAAGGTCCAGGGTCGGGGCAATCCCAGCTGGGCAGAGTATGGACTGAGAGCAGTCCTGAGGAGAAAGACCTGGGGGTGCTGCTGGATGAGAAGCTCAGAGTGAGCCAGCAATGTGCAAGTGCAGCCCAGATCCCTTCCAGTCCAAACCATACCATGGTTCTCCGTGGGGGTGTGTGCAGGTGATGGGACTGGTATGGTGCTTGCATCCCAGCCCCTCAGCTGTGCTTTGTGACAGTGGCCACTGAAACAGCCCCCCACCCCCCCTGCCTCTTTCTGCCTAGGTGTACAGCTTGCTGCCAGTGAAGGAGCTGCACGACTATCGCCACGGTCCAGACGCGCTCTTGGAGGAGCCCCTGGAAGACTGCATCCCCTTGAAGAAGATAGTTCTGAATGGCATCACCTATTCTCCAGTAGTGGAGATGAATGAAAAGGACACTTACAGCATTATGAAGGTATGTAAGTAAGTTTTACCTAAAGGTCAAGCCTCCTACATGGTTAGGGAGTGGAGTGGCAGAAGGACTGAGGATGCTTAACCCTTCTGTGGGAGGATGTAACAAGGGAAGAGTTTGTGAAGCTGAACTACCTGACACTAATTTTTATCCAGAGGAAAGTTCAGTGAGAGTCTTAAGCTTCACCTGTCCTGCCAGCCTTGCTCCCTATTTGGTGGGAAAAGGGATCAGTCTCCAAGTTTTCTTACAGGAAAATGTTTGAGGCTGACTTGAAATGAGGCTGTAACAGGAGGTGAATATTCCTGTGCCATTGCAGTGACCCCACATGAACCAGTACGTCCTTGAGCTGCACTGTAGCCACAAACACCTCCTCCCAAACAGAATACTCTGTATCTGCTCCCTGACTCATCCCCACCCCTAGTCTGGAACTGGACTGGAACCAGTGCCCTGGGAACAGAGACAATCTCTTCTTTGGTCTCTCTGGGCCACCCAGACCCAAGGTCAGGGGGGTGTTCTCAAGGTTCAACCCACAGACAGTAGCAGCTTCTCTTCTTAAAGCAGTGAAATACCGATGTCAGATCTGTTGTGTAAACCTCAGCTGGAACCAGCAACCAAAATCCGTGTTGGGTTTCTCTCCCCTAGGAAATGGGTTTGAAGATCTTCACAAACACCAAGGTGAGGAAGCCTCAGTACTGCAGCACTGAGAACCACCTGCCTGAAGCCCTCGTGGCAGCCTCGTCGGGCGTGCGTGGAGCACGCATGTACGGCGCGAGGGCAAGTGGTAAGGGACCTGGGGGGTCTGGCACCTCTGTGCTCAGCAGAGGTCCTCTCTGTGTCCTGGGGTGGCTGCTTAAGAGCTGAGGCTGTGAACTGAACCCTTGGAAGCAGTGCTGAATTGGTGGCTCCACAGATTTCGGCTTCTGCATCTGTTGCTGGGGGGTCAAGCTCTACAGGCAAACTTTGGTAACTCCACGTGAGCCGCCAGCAGAACCAGGTTGTTTCCAAAGACCCTGGCAGGGCAGAGGATCTTATTCTGCTGCTGAATTCTCTGTCCACTAGGCTTTTAGAGTAGACTTCTTCTTACAGATATCACTTAAGGGGGCTCCAATACAGTTTTCAGTCTGTCCTCATTGACTCATCCAGTCTTGTGCATGGTCAAAACCAGCTGCAGTGGATGACAACATTTTTAGTGAGAAGCTGGTAGACTTTGGGGGCTTAGAATGTTATCCAAGCACAAATTAATTTAGCCAAAGTAAAGATGAACAAAACTAGAATTTAGTTTAGATCTTTTCTTCTTTATCTATTTGGGTGGATTTCTCTGTTTGTAAAAGCCAAGCAAACCAAGTCCCACCCACCCCATCTTTGTTTTCCACTTGCTCAAAACCAAAGTAAAACAAGTCCTTATTTTTTACCAAATTTCATCTCAGAATATTTTCTTGGAAATAATTTTTGCATGTGAAAAAAATTGTTTTAGTCAATCTTTACCCCTCCCAAATTCCAGCTGCATGATTTTAGTTTGAGAATCCTCAGTCTAGTTCTTGAGGAGGCCATAGATTTGGCAAGGAGGTCATAATGACCCTGCAAAAAACACTTCAGCAGAGGGATATTCATTGCTGTCTGGCCTGATAGGATGGAGAAGGATGTCACATTAAAATTTCCCTTTCCCATTGTCACCTTGTCACATTTCCCTGAATGGGAAAATGCTGCTTGCACAAAAGGTCATAGAATCACAGACTGTCTGGGCTGGAAGGTGCCTCCAAAGTCATCTAGTCCAACCCCCTGCCATCAGCAGGGACATCTCCAACTAGATCAAGCTGCTCAGAGCTTCATCCAGCCTGATCCTGAATGTCCCCAGGGATGGGGCCTCCACCACCTCTCTGGGCAACCTATTCCAGGGGTCTGTCACCCTCCTACTGAAGAACTTTTTCCTAACATCTAACCTAAATCTGCCCTTTTCTAGCTCAAAGCCATTGCCCCTCGTCCTGTCCCTCCAAACCCTTGTGAACAGTCCCTCCCCTGCTCTCCTGTAGCCCCTCTCAGGCACTGGGAGGTCGCTCTAAGGTGCCCCCAGAGCCTCCTCTCCTCCAGGCTGAACACCCCAACTCCTCAGCCTGTGCTCACAGCAGAGCTGTTTGCTCTCACAGCCTTGCTTTAACCTTGTGAAGTGCTGCCCCACAGACTTTGGGGTTCAGTGGGGGCTGGTCCCAGCACTCAGGACAGCCCCAGCAGCACAGCTTCTGGCTGCCACGCAGACTGCCCCCTTCTATGACTGAAGCCTGATGCTGATGTGGATTTTGCTTTTCTGGAGCTATCAGCAGCTGATTCCTTTTCCACCTCAGCACCTCCAGGCCTTCCAGCTGAATCATCAAGAGCTCCTGAGGAGCCAATGGAGACAGTCCGACAGTATTTCCCAGAAACTTGGATTTGGAGTTTAGTATCTACAAGGTGAGCACCTTGGGCTACTTCCTGCCTTTTTAATAAAACTGGTTTTATAAGGTGAAAACAGGAATCCTCACCTTTGCCCAGCCTTTTCAATGCTAAAAACATCCTTAATTGTTTGCAGAGATCACGTGGTGATCCTCTGAGATGGAATTACTTTCTGTCATGGTTAGGTTTGTCTAAGGAAGGGTCATGGGTCTGGGAGAAGATGTTGGGTGTCCCTGCAGTAACCACCATACTGTTCCCCATCATTCACACAGGCCACACTGTTCAGTAGGGCAAAAGGGGTACAGATAGTCACCAAAATGCCATGAAGATCATCCCTCTGTCCTTGTTCTCTGTCCCTCCCCAGCTCT